TAGCATGAAGCAGCATTCACAAATTTTATTAGCAGTGTATGTGTAATGGCAAAATCAAACATGTCCTTTAAAAATAAAACTCTTATTAAGTCAGTACCTGTACAACCTCTGTGCGTGCGTGTGTGTGTGTGTGCGGGTGTGTGCGCACGCATGCACGTGAATGCACCCTCACAGGCATGAAGGCACATGTGGGTAGTCTTTGCTCAGCATCTAGCTCCCAAGGGCAGAGAACTTATACTTCCTGTTCACCATCCATGAATGAATGAATAAATGAATGAACAGCTCATGTATGAATGAACAATTGCATGATGAAGAGTTCTACACACTTTGTATTTTAATATTAGTCATCAGGTGCTTGTTGGGGAAATATTGGTTTTCTCCATTATTCTGTGAATCTCTTGAAGGCAAAGACTGTGTTGTCCCAACCTCAATGCCTACAGCTTCTAGTACAGTGCCTGGAACATAGCACTCAATGAATCTTTTTAAAATTAATAAATAAGTAAACTAAAGGGTGACTTCAAAGGGAAATTCATTTATCTCTGACTACTTAAAACTAATTAGCAGCTAAAAATTTAAAACCTTGTGGAGAACAGAAATAAAGATATGTTCCTAGAGAGTCACATGCTGCTGTGTGTGTGTGTGTGTGTGTGTGCGCAGACACACATATCTTGCTTCACTACCCTCCGTGTGGATGAAATGTTGGGAAAGCCTTCTGTTATATTTTATATTTTATGAAACTGAAGTAGGAGAAGCAGAAGCAGAGATATTTGGGGTTCAGAAGAGGCCAATGGAGAAAGAAAAGAGAGGCTGTTAGAAAAGAGAATGGAATCAACAAGAAGATACCTTTATTAAATTAAGATACGAATATTGAAATCAGACCACAGCAAAGTCATTTTTAGGGTGTTTTCTTTAAAACAGATGTGATTCTAGAAAAGGGCCACAGAAGGCCCCAGAGGAGTCAGGAGTCCTTGCCCAGTTCACCTAAACAAACCTAAATCAGGTTAGGCCTGCTTGCCACGGTCATTGGCCCTGAGGAGGAGAGCAGTGACAGCTGATGATGCCACCTGGTTGAAACGATTAAACAGTTCTTTCAAGGTGACTATTTAATACAGATATTCCCAGTGCTTTGTTGAATTTCATCATAGAGCTTTGCAAACTCTTTTAACCTTAGTAAAATCATTATTAGTTAAACAAATCCTTTTCCTCGCAATAGTTCTAGCGTTCAGTGGCATCCTAAATTTCCATTAAATGGAATCTGGGCATCACGAAGGAAATCCTTTCCTGAGTTAAAGCATCAGCCAAGGTCAAAACAACCAAAAATAAGTTCTGTGAACGTTTGGAGAAATATATCTTAAAGTATAGAGCGCGACACTGCCAATAACCTGTTATCTAATATGACTATCATTTCAATTTTTACAATGGAAGACACCTTTTAAAGATTCATTGTGTTAAGGACATCATTTGTACATCATTGCCAAATCTAATTAGAAGTAAGTGTCTCCTGGGGATATAAGCCACGAGTCATTGTGTGTGTTTGTAACCAGGTCATACTCTCTTTGGGATTAATTCCATCATGCCTACAACCATCTTTAAGCCTTTCTATAATTGTCCAAATTATAATTTTTCTCTTATCACTCCTCTACCTATAACACTATTAGCAGTATCATTGTGTTGAGACAGCAGTTTCTCAGGCCACAGAGACCATTTATTTTAACTTTAAAAATCTAGCTCTTAAGCAGAGAATGTTGGGATATTTTTCCGTTATTTTAAAATTTCTCCATGACTAAGTATTATTTCTCAATATCAGTCACTGAATCCATTCACCTATATTGCTCAGTATGAACAGAACAAATACATCATGTTATTTGCCTTGCAAATGAATAAGCCAACTCAATAAAATAAAAAGAACAGTACCATGAAATTGTACAGATTAATGTTTTTCTACTGATAGAAGCATTTTATTTTAAATACAGTCAGATAGCTTAATATCTACAGTTAATACATTTGTTTCCAATTTTGAATAGATTCTGTAAAATCAGTATAACATGTATTCACAACTATTTTAGCTCTGTCTATCAATTTCTATCTTTCTGTAGCCTATTCACTAAGTATAGAATTTTGGAATTTTAATATAAAGGAAATCATATCCAGGGGCGCTTGGGTAACTCACTTTGTTAAGTGTCTGCCTTTGGCTCAGGTCGTGATCTCAGGGTCCTGGATCAAGCCCCGTGGTGGGCTCCCTGCTCAGTGGGGAGCCTGCTTCTCCCTCTCCCTCCGCCCCTCCCCCCCATGCTCTCTCTTGCTCTGTCTCTCTCAAATGGATAAATAAAATCTTTAAAAAAGAAGGAAGTCATATCCATAGACTCTTGGGAGAGAAAATATGAGGTTTTTTTAATCCACTTGAATCTTGGCATATTATACCTGATGAGGTTCACCTACGTTTCTTTAATCCTCAATTACCTGTTTCCTATATATTTCCTATCTATTTTCTACTTAAAACTTACTTGATCAGAATGTCAATGAATATGTATATTGTCTTGAGAAATCTGTAATTTAGTATAGCAACTTGCTTAATTTATTAAATGATATTTTCAATTCAACTTTGTTAATACAATCTCTTATATATTATGTTCTGTATCATTATCTTTGCTTCTCAAGGGTTTGTCCGGATCCGTCTATAGACTGTAAAAACGTCCCTAACCAGTGAGACAGCATCTCACAAACTTCTGCAACTAGAAGCTTACCTGTAAACAACCGCGATGCTTGAGAAGAATCTCTGCAACAATAGATATTTCATTTCAAAGTCCAGCAGCTCAACACTCCACAGAAAAAGTGATGAAACCCTTCGGCTGTGGAAACCCAAGGCAAATCTCTTGACCTTTTAAAAGTGTAGTCACTGTCGTTCTATTTCATGAGAGGTTTCTGAAAGTAGAAAACAACTTCACTCTTCATAGGGAATGTTTATTGGAGCCAGAAGTGATTTTTGTTTACTCCAAGGCATTTCTCTACATTTGGGTGATCTTCTTTGGTTTGTATGTGGCCCTTCAAAGGTATGATCTGATTTTGTGCATTCAAGATAAGGACTGCATGCTGAACGATCCAAGCAGTCTCACTCAGAAATAGTTCCTGAGTGGGAAGATGACAATTTTCAGAATAAGAATGTAGAATTTCAATGGCACCCTCAGAATATCTTCAGAATACACGCAATTGTTATACTTGATGGGTTAAGCAACAATGACTTCACTCTGCCTGCCATGCCAGGTGTGGTCCTCAGACCCCCAGCATCTGCATGTCTTGGGAGCTTGTCAGAAGTGCAGATGCTCTAGGCCCACACTAGAGCTACTGAGTCAGAATCCACTTTTTTCCAACATCCTCAGGTTGTTTATATCTACACATTAAATTTTGAGAAGCACCAGCCTCATCAACTTCCTGCTTCAAAAGATGAAAATTCAGGCAAATCGAATGGTAGGACTTGTGTAGGGTTAAAAACATTAATGAAAGCCACAATTTGTCAGTGAAATCAAGCTGGTGTACATAATCAAATCATTTGTAAGAGAAGATAGGAAAGTTTGATCTTACGTAAGAAGCATTCTCAAAGCAAGTGCAATTTAAGACACATGTTGGTCTGTCTAATGCCAGGACATCCAGATGAGAAAGGAAAGACTGACAAGTCATGCACAGATGCTCAGTTCTACACATCTGGTCCACTTCAAGAACATCCCGGTGACTTGATTTTAAAATAATACATTTTCATCAACATTTTTGACCTCCTATGGATACAGCTAACCTAGGTCCATAGCTCCCTTTCAGAATTCTCCAGAGACACAGCATTTACTTATCAGCTGCTGTTTGTGCAATAGGGGAAAACATGGGGCTGTTTTCCTGAGTCACTGTAGATTTCCTGATGCTTGGGCATCTGGCCTGTGGGCAGTGTTCCCGCATAATCGAGGTGTTAAGCTATTGAATAATGGATCTTACAGTGGTGCTTTCGAATATGGCACTTCAACTGAAGCATATTTAGCATTTTTCACCAATGCATTATTTCCAGAAGCAGTAGTTGAAAGTTGCACCTCGAGAAGAGAGACATTGATTTTATTTTTAAATTTTCTTACTGGAGGGAAGAATAAGTTCTGGTCCCGGTTCCATAATTGGAAGCACCTAGTGCATCTGTTCCAAAGCAGATAAAGGGCAATAGTTTCTGAATCGAATTAAGTCAACCATTATTTTATCACTAAATTACTGGAGTCATCTGTTTATTTTTCTAGCTCCAGCTGGAACATTTTCGGATTAGAGGTGACTTCCTGTTAAGTAAAGAATTATCTACATTTTACTGATCTAATTTGTTGTTCCAATAAAACCCTGGCTTATTTCCCCTGCTTTAGATGCAGTTTTGGAACTTTCATGAAACCAGGTGAATTCTGATCCAAATTATGTACTAACTGAGCTCTGTTTTTGTCAAAGACAAAGATCACTGCAAATCAGCCATATCCACTGAGGCCACGTTTCTTCAACTTAGACTTAGCTTTAAGTTCTTTTGAACAAAGAACTTAGAGATGGTGAGATGGACCATCCATCTCGTTTCATAGGGAAGCAAAGTGATGAAAGAAATATATAAATGTTGTGATTGTAACAATGATACTTTAAACATAAATATAAATTGTAAGACTCATTAGTAGTTTTCTTGGACGAGAAAAAGTACTCTCGGAAATATTTCTTTCCCAGCAACTTTGGGAGTGATGATGTCACATATATATATATTTTCCAAATCTGTATGGTTTCAGAAGCTTCTCCCCACTGTTTCTCTAAAATGCACAGATTTCCTCACCTCCTTTGCAAGTTAATGATTAAGGAGTATGTACTTTAGTAGCTTTCAGTAAAGTCACCCAGAATCTATTGCCAGACTCTCGGGGAGAAAGCAGTTCCCTCTTAGCATATGCATTCAGCTTAATTTCTTCTTGCAATGCACTCTAAGAGCTTGCCTACATGTAAGAGCATAAGAATCAGAGGAGTAGATTGGGCTTACTGTCCATATCCAGCCCAGCATGTGAAGATATGGACCCCAAGAGATGTGTTTCTGGAAGATAGATGTGTTTGACTCCATGAGCATCTCCTATAAAGGTAAGAAAAACCCTATGATCTATGAATGGTCCTCTTCTATTATGAACTTGTTAATTTTTGAGTTTCTTTAATCGTTTTATTTTCTTCTTCATGTTAAACTCTATAGCGCTAGTTCACACTGCACTATGAAGAGTTATATCCCTAATATTAACCTAAAGCTTTCCACACTGAGGGTGGAAGAGATTTCCTCCTGGCTCTAATATCCCAGGATTTGATGAACTAGCTGTTATTCTCCCCTATCTTCGTCTTTTGCAATTTTTAACATCAAAAACAGCCTCACTCACTCTTTACCTTTCCAATACGGTTCTAAACCTTTTCATTTGTCTTCATTGACACCCACCACGACCATTCTGACCATTTTCTTGTCTTTTCTGGATCTCTTCCAGGTCAATTTTATTTTACCCATTACAAACAGATATATTAAATTTCCTGTTAGTGAGCAGAAAAAAAGGGAGATCTTGGCACATAATAAGCCCCATGGTTAATTTAGATCAATGATTATTATATATGGTGAACTTTTAATGTTTGGCATTTTTTTAGTATTCTGACACATTTTAAATTCTCTTTTAGTTTAACGATGTTTTTATATTATTTTATGGTACTATTTCTACAATTAGATATCTCAAACTTTACCACTTGATAAGTTGTAAGTTGTTGACACCGAAAATAATATTCACTGACAGCTAAACAATTGTTTCTGATCATTCTGCTAATGTTGATATGTTTTTCTGATTTTTCACATGAAAATTTTTAAACATATTTTCACCAAAATGTTTTAATAGTTCATACCACAGTATTGTTCATGTCTAGCCTAAAATGTGAATAAAGGGTTGTTTTTCTTTTTTAAAAAGTCATTTCTGATGTTTTTAGTAGTGAGATTTTTATTATCCTATAAAGTTGATGTTTTCATTGACATGGACCTTATGAGACAGCAGGATTATATACATCCTATAATTCCATATTTCAAGCTTTCAATTTCAGGCCTTGGTATAACTGTTCCAAAATTATGATTAGGTCAGCAGATGTTTTCTGGCATGTTCCCAGATAGTCTTATTATTTATATCATCGTCTTTTTAAAAAATTATGTGTGTCTAATATAATAATCCTGGTGTGGGGAAAACGTGTTTAGTCACTTATCCTGAGTCATATTTGATAGAGCACAACTGACCAATTAAAATCCATTTTTTTAGGATGGATTTTTATTTGTTAGTAGTTCATTAGGTTTTGCAATGCTCAGTTGGAATGTATTAGTCATTTTTGTTGTTGTTGTTCATTCATAAAGCATGAATTCATCTGTGGTTTTCCTTCCTGGAAGGATTTATTGGCATATGTAAGCTTGGGGATTTCCTCATATATATTCTCTACCATTTTATGTAAAATGTTTTTGAAATTAGGATTGACCTCAGATCTGATTTCCTAAGGAATTCCATGCTTTATACTTTTTTCTTGTAAAAGTGTTACTAGTTATGCCCTACACATTTTATTTTATTCTTTGTGCTTCTTTTCCTGTTGGGTTGTGGATTTGGGGGAATCTGTCTTACTTTGTATTTCCCATAGTTCCTAACTAAGCATGTAATAAATATTCATCAAATTAAACGTCAATTTTCCATAATAGTAAAACAATTTGCTCCTATTTCCAATGCTATGGTGATTTAATTAAAACGTAATAGCCTTGGTATAAAACTTTCTCCAAGACATTCTGAAAGTTTAAACAAGCCATATTTGCAGTGTCTGTTTTTCCACATAAATATGTATCACCTGAACAAGTCTATTGCATTAATCAGGCATGATTTATGCTTAGGGAAACCGCATTACCTTTTTCCAAATAGCTTATGTTAGGGAAAGGATTCAGTGTTTCTGCCCTTATTTTATATATATGCAATTCATTCCAACCAATCTTCACTGGTGCTGGCCACTGGGAGACCTGTCATGGGATGCCTGTTTTTAGAGCACTGACAATCGCAAGGTACTCATAATGTATGTACTGTTGACAGTGAAGTGTATCTGGGCACATAGTCTCCCCCTTGAAATGTCATTCAGTTGACAAAAGTCAATTGAACACAATAACCAAAAGGTGGAAAAACCCCAAGTGCCCATCACTCGATGAATGGATAAACAAATGTTGTATATACATACAATGGAATATTCTTCAGCCATAAAAGGAATGAAGATCTGGTATATGCTACAACATAGATGAACCTAAAATACATTATGCTAAATTAAATAAGACATACAGAAAAGGGCAAATATTGTCTGATTCCAGTTACATGAATTATCTAGAATAGGCAAATTCATAGAATAGAGAAAGTAGATTGAAGGTGACCCACCTGGGGTTTGTGAGAGAAGGGAATGGGGAGGTTTTGCTTAGTGGCTACAGAGTTTTTGTTCGGAGTGATGAAATTGTTCAGGGTGAGTAGATAGCGGTGATGTTTGCATAATATTGTGAATGTAATTAATGACACTGAATAGCACATTTAAAAATAATCAAAATGGCAATTATGTTTTATATATACCTTACCACAATTTAAAGACATTAATCATTTAATGTCATAAAAACCATGACTGCACCCTTTAAGTGGGTGAATTATATGGCATAGGAGTTATAGCTCAATAAAACCATTTTTTAAAAAAAAAGTCAATGAAAGATTAGGAGTACTAACCATTTAGTGCCCTTGTTATCCCTTCCTTCAAAGAAAAGATGGGAATAATAATCATTATAAAATGACAAGAGAAGTGTCTACCTCACTGTAAAACCCAAGGAGTCTGGGCGGATTCTGACAAATGTGTGGGAATCGATACACGAATGGCATTCTTTAATGCCCACTCATCATTTATGCATTTTCAAACTTTCAAAATAAGTTTTCTACTGGAAAGATTTGTTAAATACATTCTGTTTCACTCTCGATCTTGGCAGAGCTGTTCATAGTTCCAGAATGCTTTTAGGTGCCTGTGATAGATCATTTCTTTCTTTCTTTCTTTCTTTTTTTTCCTCCCTCATCTAAGAACTTTGCAAAGTGTGAGAATTGCTTTGTAGTCCGGAGGGCTCCTGAGTTTGAGAGCCGTGTGGCTTTGCCAAGATTGCCAGCCTGCCAAATTTTCAGCTGCCAAAAGGCTAGCCAGGGCTTCCTTGTATAATGAAAGTACAAAAAAGGCCATGTGTTTGGCAGACTTGCCCAATTCCTTCTGCTTCATAGAGAAAATAAATCTTTGAAGAAGTCCAAGAGAGAGCTACCATCTGGTCAGACTCCTGGCTTTCTCAACATGGCTTCCACCACCCATCGCCAAGTGTCAGGAGGGCTTTCTGTGTTGGACGAAGGCGGCCTGCAAGGTTAGGGGCCAATATGCTAAAATCAGATGGGAGTTTAATGAGGGGGGACTTGGCAGACCGGTGTCGACCTGCCGTCTCATCATTGCTTCTGGCACACTCACAGAAGGGTCAACATTTCAGCAATAAAAATTGGAGCCATTTAAGAACTGGCCCAGTAGTTGCTGACTATCTGTTAATTTCTTGAAGAATCTGCAAGGCATCCAAGTAAAAACCTACCCAACAACCACAACACTGTTCATCCTGGATGACTCGAAGGCTACACTATTGGAAAAAGCTGCCGAACTGTTGTACGGTGCTGACGCGTTGCCGTTATTTGGCCCACTTTCTGCACGCTTAGATCTTCAGTTCTCAAAGCCGAAGCCAACTTTTATTTCATACAGAGCAGTTCATGCTACAAAAGTTCATTTCTTGTAAGAAACCTTCTTTCATAGTAAATGAAGGTATGAAACGTGTGCATTTATTATATCATACTGGTCTTGGCCATCTGCTCGGCTTAAATGATAATCATGTTTATTCATTGAAGTTGTGCTTGTGACCTCTCAGGTTGATAGTAATTAGTAAAGTCAAAATATTAAACTATATTCATATTTCAGGTTTTTTTATGATTGGAAGTCATGGATGGGGTGTGCAAATTTTTGAACCACAGAGAAGATCTGTATTGTTTTTTGGGTCTCTGTGAGAGAACTGAATAGTTTTCTTATTTGTCTCTTAAATTTATAAGCAAGGCCTATACATTAATATTGTTCTTCTCCAACAGAAGACTCTCTTCTAGAAGTTCTCCAGGCCAGCAAAACATCTGTATGCAGTTGTCTTTTGAACCAAATTTCAGCACAAACTGAGCCACAAGATCACAAGAGTACATGTGTGCTAGATGTCTCTCCTAGGTAGGCTGCGCTGTTGTCACTTCAAACTCAACGTATTCGACCTTCTTCAGGGCTCTCCCTCTCTTTCTCTCTCATATCCCTACTATTCTTCACATCTCTTCAAAATCTGGGATTCCTCTAAGACATTTCCCTTGTCCTCTACTCTCTCTGTCTAATCAGGCATCAGGTCCTATCTGTCTTGTCTCTGTGCCTTCAGAACATGCCAGCCCCAACTGGTTCCACTTTAGCATATTGATTATTTTGAGTGGAAGACACTTGAGAAACCACAGATGGAAGAAGGACTTTCTGTCCTCTTATTTTCTACTCCCAAAAGCAGGTCGTGAGATTTCCCATGAGAAGTGTGTCCTCCCTGCACCAGGAAGAGAATATTCTTATCACTGGAGACTCAGAGCTGATGCCAAAATAAACCTGTAGAAACCAACCTACTAAAACCACCTTAACTTTTGTTAGTTTCCTCATTAGTTCATTAGTGGATTTCCTACTCAGCGGCCCACAATTTACTGCTCTCACCCAAGCCCCTTTGTCTTATCATATCCCCACAATTTATTCTTTGTTTGAAATGTATGTAAGCTCTCAGTCCTCCCTGCTTCTTTGGATCTTCATTTTCCTCATGAAGATTCGCTTATGCACATAAAAGTATTAAAGCCTGCATGCTTTTCTCCTGTCAACCCATCTTATGTCAGTTTAATCCTCAGGTCCAGTCACAGAACCTAAGAGGGTAGAAGGGAGTTTTTCCTCCCATTTGCACTGTTACTGTTACCCTCATTATGTCACATGGATGACTACAAAAACTTACTCTTTCCCTTCACACTTTTTACCTCTGCATACTGTCATGTTAAATGTTCCCAGAGGTTGCTTTTACTACATCTGGTTAAAAACAGAAAGAGAGAGAGCCCCATTGTCATTCATATCTGATGGAATGAAATGAAAATATATAGACATGTTACCAGAATCAATTATGAATGGGATCTTCCCTTTGGCCCACACCATCTCTCCTGCCATGAGGACACCCTTTCCACTTAGCTGACTAAGTTGCTCCAATTTTCGGTTCTCACATTTGTTTACTCAACCTTGCTTGGCCATCCCAAACCCAGTTCTCACTCCTTTAAGTCCTGTAGACTTCACTGAAAAGATAATTTTTTAAAAATGTGTTGCACATTTGGTTATTCTTTATTTTAATGTTGTTTGTTTGTATTTGTATTTATTTGTCCTGCATGCCCCACTAGACAATGAGTTCCTTCAAACGGCTTCTAGAGCTTGGTGTCCTCAGTGCTGAGTACACTGCCCTGCATTTATTCACATTTGTCTAAGTGTTTATTGTATCGATGAGCTGGGTCTGAGGATACAAGTAGTGACCAAAGCATCCTCTATCCTCCTGGAAGCTATAGTTTATTGAGGAACAAAGAAATAGGTCATTAAAATGCCAGAATATGGATTAAGAGTTTACAGTACTGTTGCTGTTAATGTGTGTATTAGCAGGTGAGCAAACCTGGGCAGGGTAGCCCAGGAAAGTTTTATGGGAAAGTGATATTTAAGCTGAGACCTAAAGGTGAGCAGTAAGGGCTTAATAACCAATAATAATTCTCTAATAACTAAACCACAGAACCGACTTTACTCTGAAGAGCAGACAAAATGTCATGGAGGATGTGGAGAGTCAACTGATTGTCATGGTAACTTCAATGCAGGTGAAGGACAACTAGACAAAGAAATGGCATTTATTTGATTCCCAATTTCTCTAAAATCTTCCTCAAGAAGACAAAAACAATTTTATATTGGTTTTTTGGTTTAGATTTTTTTTTAATAAATTAGTCTCTACACTGAGTGAACAGCCTTAACTCAGGCTAGAATTGGAAACAGGATGGGAATCCTGAGTAAAATGGATAGAGAAATGAAGTTGAGGTAATGGGATGAGGAAGTTAAAGCAGAAGGCCAAGACAAGACCAGGGGAAGAGAAATCCGAGTTGACAGACAAATGGCAGGAGAATCCCATGGCGAAGCTCAGTCAGGGCAGTTGGAACCAGGCCAACCCACAATGCTGATAACTAACCCATTGATGGTTAAAAGACAGAACAAATGCTTCTTGGAGTCATTGTCTTTAAAAACAAATTTTTCTCAGTTTAACCATGTCAGCTCCTTAATAGTATCTACTTTCATCCCACAGTGTTTGTCAATATTACGTGAATTAATCAACGTAAAATCTCTCTGAGAATTCAAGGTCTCCAAGGATAAAACTCCTTCCTTTGTGTGCTACACAGAAGGGGTTTTCTGTTTACAGAGTATATACTAAAGAGTAATGATTAAGCGTGTCTTCAAATAACATCATTGTGTACAAATAAATGACTACTAAAATTATACGGAGGCTCATGAAAGTAGAAATAAGAGGAAGAAAAGACATCTTCAGAATTTTTCCCTACAGCCATGTGAGACATCCATGCCCCTTGGAGACAAAGTTGCTCTCTTGTTTTTTTGTGTTTTTTTTATGTGTGGCTTTTTTTTTTTTAATTTTTTAATTTTATGTTAATCCCCATACATTACATCATTAGTTTTAGATGTAGTGTTCCATGATTCATTGTTTGTGCATATAACACCCAGTGCTCCATGCAGAATGTGCCCTCCTCAATACCCATCACCAGGCTAACCCATCCTTCCACCCCCCTCCCCTCTAGAACCCTCAGTTTGTTTTTCAGAGTCCATCGTCTTGGTTTTTACCAAAAGAGCAGAGAGAACAAGGACAGAGTCTACGAACAGACACTAATGCAGGAAGAAATGATGTGATCTCCCCAATAACCAGTTTGCCTCTTTCAAAATGTCTACAAGTAATCAATTAGACTCGAGAGAGACATAGACTTAGTGATTGCAGACAGATCCCTGAGAACCCCCTTTGACAATTACAGCTAGAGTTAAAAATGGAAGGTTGTGGGTAAATGCACACAGATGGATCTAGAAAGCGAGCTGTCCAATGACTCCATGAGATGCACATCGGAGAATGTTGTCATTGCCTCCTATTATGTGAACTGATTATAAGGCAGTATTTTTCAAAAGGAATTCAAGAAGAGGAGAACTCCATTTGCAAATGAGATAGTAAGTGGAACTCTCATATAAACACAGATAAAAATAAAGATGTTCTGATTGAAGCTGGTGATTAAAGGCAACAACTGGCTCTTTCCTTGGCCAGTCTCCATGAAGATGTCACTGCTCCTAGAGTTTCCCTCCTGGCAAACATGAACCTTCCCTGGATGGCTAAACCCAGGTCCGTCTCTATCTTTCTGGAAGCCAGAGTAAAGTTGCAAGGCCTGGAATTACATACCCAGCTTTTGTAATGGACAAACTAGGCAAGTACAAAAGGAAATATTGTCTCAGAGGGCAAAGTTGGGATAGTGGTCTGATCACAATTCTGGATCCAAAGGAGTCAAAACAGTCAGGCAACATGAGTGAGTCTGGTGGATGGTGAACAGTGCAAGGTGGAGCTGGGTATGACGTCTGCTCAAACCAGCAAGCAAGGTTTTTGAACCTGGAACAAACTTGAATTATAATGTATTGAGATTTACCACGGTATTTGGATTTCCATGTTTTCTTTTCAGACATCTGAAAAAGCTTCACTTTGTATTTCAGTTTTTGGTTCATGTCATAATGTTCCCAGACAGAGGATATGTATTTAGAGTTTAGTAAAAAGACATTAAAAGGTATCAGAATTTGAAATTAGACATTGTAGCAATATTTAGCCAGTGACTATTAAGAACTCAATGTGGAAGAAGAAAAGATAAAACTTTCATGTGTTAGGGATTTATTTTTAATGAAGAGCATTTTCTGTCTACTTAAATGAAGTAGTGTAAATCAGTGCATCATAAATTATGGATGCTGGTATTTGAAATGTGCAAATGTAAACTTAGACCACTAGAGTAGTTGCTATCCTTTCATTATGCAAAACAAAACATAATCACAGCAGAGTATTTCAATGTGGAATAAAATCCATAAGATTTGTTTTTGTCTCTGTCATTCCAAGTTGATGATATTTTATTCATTAATGTTTTCTATCTGCTATATGTGGCTCAGATGCTCATGACTTCCTCTGTGTAAAATAAAACTTTAGGGCAAAAAAAGAGAGTGTAGTCCTTGACTTGACTCTCACTGTTGTGGTATTTGTCATAGATCTGCATTCAGCTCTGGGTTTGGTATAGCCATATATTTATATTTATATAGAAATTTATATAATTTATAAATAATTTATATTTATATTTATTTATATATCTATGTATAGATAGATTTGGGGAATAAAGTGATATATATATATATATATAACCGTGTGCCATGTCGCTATTTCATTCCATAGCCCAAAAGCTTGCTTTAGATTGCTTTAGCTTGAGGAGAGTGAAAAGAACAATCTAGTGGCTACAGGATGTTCTATTCCTCCTCCAGCTCCCCAGTCCTGCCCAACAGAAGGTTGGTGTGGTTTAGGCGCTGTTTCAGGCATTTTTATCTTAATTGGTTTATGACCCCTCAAAACCCTGCTGAAGGAACCCAAGCCTTCGGGGAATCCTTGAGGACTTAGCCTGGCAAATATGGCTTGACTGCGTTCTGGAGGGCCTTCTGATCTTAGGGATTGGCTGCCCCTCCCACTTCGGCTCCAGAGTAAATCTACACAGTATAGACCTGAACCTAACACTTCAAAACTGACCCGGGACCAACACCAGCCAAGCCCCAGCCTGAACCAGAGCTGCTCAGCTGCGTCCACCCTGGATCAACAGAACCATAGCCAACCTGCAGACTGATAAAGATGGGAATAAAAGTGTGTTGTCTTAAGCCACTTTGTTTTGGAGTGGCTGGTTTCTAGCATTATTGTGGCAATAACTGATCAACGTAGACCTTGAACCCACCCTACTCCATTTCCTCTTCTAAAGCAGGTCTGAAGGAGAAAGTACTCAATCAGAAAGTACTTGGGTTCAAACATGTAGAAAAATAGGTTGCAGCTACATTATTGGAGAATGCTTCTATCATCCTGATGGTTGTACTTAAAGCTAAAAAGGAATTCATCACAAGCATCTACAGGGCTTTGTTGCTCATAAAATATAGGATGAAGATTTCCAGAGAAAATCCACAGATGAAGTAGCTAATGAAATCTATACTTAGGATAAGATGCAAATCTAATTCTTATGGTGATCAGAGTTTGCATATTTTGTGCCAGTAGAAAGAAAGACGTTAATCCCATGTCCTGGCAGGATTATTAACATCCTGACTATGTTCTGCATGGCTCATTATTTTTCCTGTTCAGTTGGTAGGAAATATATAGCTTTCACTACCGCACAAAGACATTTCACTGATGAAACGAGAAATTGCAGGCAATGTGTTATGGATCAAAAGGGGGGAAAAAAAAAGAAAGGCAGAAATCTTGGCTTCATTCCTCATCTGCACTGTTTTCTAGGTCCGTGGCCTGGGGTGGCACTCCATCCCTCTGCTTGTGTACAGGATAAAAGGGCTATCTCCACAAATCTACCTCAGTGCTGCTGGGAGAACCCAGGTGAGGATGCCCCAAAGCTGTGAAGAGTGAGATCTACATTACTATGTGAAACAGATGTTGGCAGGCAGAGGATCATAACATCGCAGGGCACTGGCTGTGAAATCATGCAGACCTGGGTTCAGACTCCAACTCTGCCATTTCCTAGATGTGTGACCTTGAACAAGTGACTTTTCCACCCTGAGCCTCAGGTACCCCTGGAAAATTTGGGTAGTAGCCCCTCAGACTTGTGAGTGCTCAAGCAGATAGGGAATGTGAAACGTGGAACATGTGGATGGGCAGAGAGTAAGGGCTCAAAAATATGGCAGGTGGCTTAAGTCCCATGCATTGTCTTTTTAGCACTCAATTCCGTGGCGGTGGGTACAGGCATTGAATCTCTGCTGTCACACCGTCCTCTGCACCAGGGAGACGAAAGTCCAGAAATCTGCTGCTGATGTCCTGGGCTTTTGGTTGCAATGCCACAGAAGACCTGTCCCCTTTTCCCTGACGTCTGCTACTGATGATGGACATGGCTTCCTAGACTGGAGTTTTTACCAGCTGCTCTTCTCTCCTGTTTCCTTCCACCAGTGGCTCACCCTACATGGTAAGTGGCTCACCCTACATGGTAACATTTGAGTTAGACTGAGTCTAGGAGGATCAGCCTTGTCTCTTCCCTGACGAAGGTGTTGGCTCTAACTCCACCATAACTAATTACCCCACGATTTGGTATCTCTACACATGGCGGATGGAATGTGCCCGGACATAGCTTCAGTTGATTCATATTAAGGAAAACAAATCACTAACTCTGGACCATGTTTTCAGCTTGTACAATAAAGAAATCGTATTATTGATTGTAGCGTGGAAACAGAGAAAGCTCATACTCCACAAATATTGGAGATCAGGGGCCCTAAGTTTTCTTATTCTCTATCAATAAATAAACATTTCAAGGAGGATTAGAGGATTTAAAAATTCACTTATAAATTTTAGCCACTTACTAAGCTAACGTGTTCACTTTAGAAAGGAGCTGGCGTTCTGTTAGATGCGAGGTGACATTTAATTAGAACATTATAAAATGTTTAGTTTTATCTCAATTCAACACCATTTACCATTTCATTCATTCCCACTGTAGAAAATGTAGGGGAAAAAAAAAGAGAGAGAGAAGTCGAAGAAGAGGGAAGTCACACACAGTTCTCTTACCTACAAATGATGACTGTTTACGTCTTGATGCATTTTCTTCCGATCATTTTTGCTGTGGACAGTTTTACCTAGATTATTTCCAAGTGAGATGTTTTTATCGCCTTCTGGCACAAGGCTGGGGTTCAGTAAAGGTATGCCAATGTCACAAAGCTAGGCCTCTTCCAGAGTCACACTGGGTGTTTAGCCTCTTTGGCTTTGGGCTTTTTGAAGCCCAAAATATCTGGGCTGGCCTTCCAGGGCATCTAGAAAGATTGCTTAAACAAGAGGCCGACGAACACTTGTTGTCTTCAAAATTTGCATCCAAACCTCAACTAGTCAGCAAAAAAATTAAGAGACAGACTTCAGATTGAATTGTGTTGCGTTATTTCTCACTTCTGCTAAAAGGAGGAAAATAAATGGCAGGTGACAATAGCGGAGGCAGCTTATTTGGATTTATTTCTCTGAGAGTCTTCCCTTCGCGATTTACAAAATCTACACGAGCTTCGAAAAAGCTGCCATTTCCTGTCTAATAAACCCCAAATGGAAAAATAACAAATACAATGAAAAACAGCAACCTACTTGACAGACTAATATATATTAATCCCACCGCCACGGTTGAGAGACGGAAGATTATTATTGAATAAGACTCTTTCATCAAACCAAATATTTCCTAATGCTCCAAAGTACGTATCTGGCATTGCCCCTGCCTTACACATCTGCTTGTCTCTTTGAACTCTGCTATTAAGCCGAAGGTTGCATGCAGCTGCACAGTACTAAGATAATTAGCTCTTTCCATTATATAGTACGATGGATGGGAAAGACCTTCAGAACATTCCGAACTTGGATTTGCATAAACCCTGGGCAGTTAGAAGACTTTTCCAAAATTCAAATCAGTCCTCTGGAAAAACTTGTACCGTTTCCCAGTGCCTTCCTGGAATCTTTTACACATCCCCTCTTCCTGAATATTTTCCTTTTAGCCCATCTCTCCTTATTTTTATACGTAATTACTGGCAGAACTTTATGATCTTCCTTGGACTATTTCCGAGACAACCAACCTGCAGGGGGTGACAACTGTTCTGGTAGGTATGTCAGCAAAGCACTGGGCTGGCTTTGTGTAGTCAACATGGAGGGTTGGGTTGGGGTGGCCTGGCCTCCAGAGCTTCAGGAATTTGGAAACACCTATATAAACGCTGTTTTGTAGTTTTCAACCCCCGAGAGATGAAACCCGCCACCCCCAAGGACACTGACGGAGCTGTGCCTGTCGTGTATTATGATTTCCTCCCACAGCAGGACAGTCTTCCACAGAGAGCGTTCCAGGGCCTCTCAAGGAACAGACTCCAAATGTTCTCGTCTTATGTCCAGTGCTTGCTGTCCATGGAAGGAGACAGGGGAAGCTGGAGAGAAGGGGAAGTGAATCCTGGCATCCTGAGTGAGCAGGAACTGGAACGTGGGGGAAGAAGACATACTAGTGTGGAAGAATATTTCAAGCAAATTGCAGTGTTCACTTCCAATAAATGCAGGTCAGCTGGTAGTGTCCAGAAATACCACCCAGGTGGCATCCTCAACAAAACTCACTTTCCTGAACATAGTTTGAAAAGGAAATGTTTACTTGTCAACAGCCTTCTTACTGGATTTATACTTAGTGGAAATATATACCATATTGATTTTCCCCGAAGACTGTCCTTCTTCCTAAAGACAAGCCGATGAGATGGCAAAGTCTCGGAGTCTTGAGTAGAAGGAGCGTTGGTGGGTATCCTGTTGGCTTTATGCTCCTCATTCTCTTTCCTGCGTATTCCCGCTGGGGATATGTTCTGCTCAGCCGAGAAGGGTCATGGCTGTCGAGTTTATTAGATTTTTAATTTTTTCCCCTAGAAATTCACATTATTTAAGTATTTCCTTTCTTTTACAAAAACACATTTCATAGTCTGGCCCAAACCCTGCTGGTAATTTCAACCCAGTAGGAAAGTATGCTGTTTTTTATTTGTTCTAGATGGGTTGGCAGGAAGCCTGGTGGAGAAAACACACATGTCACTTGACCACTCTTTCTCTCTTGCTCTCTTCTTTGACTTGCATGCCACCCCACTGGCCTGGCTCTCTTCCTGCCTTCTGGAACACTCTTCCTCTGCCTCCGTTGTCAGCCGCTCCACCACCTGAACTGGAATGTCTCAAGCATGAGTGCTGAGCCTTCTTCTCTTCTATTCTTCTACTCTCTTCCTGGGTCATAGAATTCATTTTCATAGCTCCTCGATTTTTTTCCGCCAAGCTAAGAGCTCTCTTTTGGGCTCCAGAGTCATATCCAAATGCCTATTGGAAATGTTCACTTATCTCTTGCAATGTCTGTATGCTGAATTGAACTTTCATCTTCAAACCTGCTCCTTCCTCATGCTTCCCCATCCATGGTAAATTAAAGATGCCTCAAATTTGTTTGACAATACTTCCATCAAGAAGTGGCATCTAGGGGCACCTGGGTGGCCCAGTCGGTTAAGGGTCTTCCTTTGGCTCAGGTCATGATCTCAGTGTCCCAGGATTGAGCCCAGTGTTGGGCTCCCTGCCCAGCGGGGAGTCTGCTTCTCCCTCTCCCTCATGCGCTCTCTTTTGCTCTCTCTCTCACAAATAAATAAATAAAAATCTTCAAAAAAAAAAAAAAAGAGCTGGTATCTATGTGCCCTTCCCTTGAATCTGGGCAAGGTTGATCAGTGAAATTTCTGGGTCCAGCCCATAAGAGGCTGGCAGCAACCTGGTCAATCTCTTGGAGTACTTGCAGTGTATCCAGAACAGAACTTGTTACCTGGAAATAGGATGCTGCCTTAACCAGATACCTAAACATATAGCATCAGCTTCAGGACCAGTTAGCAGGTAGAAGCTGGAAGTGCCTCAGGAGGTAATTGGCGAGGACTTGAAGAATGGTGAGAAAAATGCTGGAGATAAAATGACCTGTATCATGTAATGGCAAAAAGTATAGCAAAACTGTCACCTGTAGAATGTAGAAAACAGAAAATGTATCTGATGAGCTTGTGGATCTGGGTGAAGAGATATTCAGGTAGAATGTCAAAAGGGTCAACCATTCCTTTTATCTACATATGATGAAATATGAAAAGAGAGAAATGAGTTTTAAAACAAATCCGGTTACATTTCAACCTGAGTGTAGAGGGACTGGAAAGGAGCCAGGACTTTCTGGGCTCAAAAATAAACTATTTCTCATCCCCATATTCATCCAGGAAATAATTCTCAAAGTAAGAAATGGCTTTTGGGCAAAGACCAAATCCAGGGCCGTACTAGGAAAACATGGTCTCGATTGTGGCTTTAAGATCCTTTGTTAAGGGGCACCTGGGTGGCTCAGATGGTTAAGCGTCTGCCTTCAGCTCAGGTCATGATCTCCAGGTCCTGGGATCGAGCCCCATGCCGGGCTCCCAGCTCAGCGGGGATTCTGCTTCTCCCTCTCCCTCTGCCTCTCCCCCTGCTTGTACTCTCCCTCTCTCTCTCTCTCAAATGAATAAATAAAATCTTTTAAAAAAAATAAGATCCATTGTTAAGACTTCAGAAAGATTTAAGAGTATGCCTTAGTAGGACTTCTTAGAATCGAAAAGCCTGTGCTTAAGAATTATAGATACTTTAGGTTAAATATCAGGGCTTTTAGGTATTAAAGGAAATATTCCACACCTGCCTCACCAACTACCCAAGGTACTGAAGGGTCTGTCTTGGAAAAAAATTACGGGTATGACTTGGGTAATGGAAATCGTTATAAATTGATAAATAAGAAACCCATGATTTTAAACAAGATTGTATTGATTTCTTTGGAAAGGGACAAAGAGTACAAAAAAAAATAAAAATAAAAAGAGATACTTGGGCCCCCAACCCTCCGTAGGAAGGAAGCAGGCTGAGAAAGTACTCACCCGCAGTATGGGTTATTTCTTATGGAAGGAAGAGGAAGGAAGACCCAGAAGGTAAAACTAATTGCTCTGCAAGGTAATTCCCAGGGAGTAGGAACTAGCCTAATCAAGAAATTGGCAGTGTGTGCTGGAGTGAATTTTCAAGTTCTAAAGGACCAGGGACTGATACGTGACTGAGTTCTGCCTCTTTTGAATGGGACTCTTGTAATTAACCTATGCCCATCCCACCATTGTGTGTGGGTCTGGTGAGGGGCACAGGTCTTCAGACTGAGACGATTCACACCCAACCAGCTTTATCTGCACCTGAACCTGACTTCAATGATGATGAGATCCTGGAATTTGAGTCAATGCCATAAC